AGAGAGAGAGAGAGAGAGAGAGAGAGATTGATTTACTGATCTTCTTTTCTATGCTAGGTGTTTGATATCTGCAATCTGATGTGAGTTGTTCACATTAAGCTGTACAATTTATTAGGGAGGGGTGATTGTCTAGTTTTATGAGCTTTTCATAAGGTTACATAAACATATTAAGTCCAAATATATAATAAATATTTTTGATGAAATGTTACATTGTTTAATCTTTTGTCACTACAGTTAGAAAAAATTAGTTATAGAGTTGTGCTTGGACACTTCTAGAACCTCAGAGATGCTACCTTCCCCCACCCTCTTCACACTGACTTGCTGCCTCAACCTAGAGCACCCCCAACTCCATTCTTGAAGACCTAATCTTGAATTGGAGGACTGAGTCTAGCTCTCATCTCAACCCTGGCCTGCCCAACAGAGGCTTGTATTGAAGGTCAGTGCTTCCCTTTGCTTACAGCTTACTACAGAGAACATAATATTATAATAGAGCAAAGCTCTGTCAGTCTTGCTTAGTACCTTCTTTGATGCATTTATTTTTGAATGCAAGCACGCATGTGTTTTTTTCTCTGCATTCATTTTGAATCACTTTTTCATTCATCATTGAATTACTTTCCCCATAAAATGACAGTATTTACCCCTGAAAATAACTTTATGGGTAGGTAGTTTGCTTGAATAATTTCTCCACTGATTAGCTGCATTGTTGCATAAAGAGATATTTTTTCCCTCTGGAATTTACCGATTTATCTTTGTTTTTGTGGGGAGATTTTGCTTTGTGTCTGTTTTGCCTGGATTTCGTCTTTGAGGATTTTGTCCTGCTGAGTAGGCAAGGAGATCTTGCTGCTTGATAAAGAAGGGGAAAAACAGCTGTTGTAACTAACTGTGAGCCTGCTTTTTCAGCTAATGCAAGCTGTTAGCTCTTTGAAAGGCAGCTGCCGAAGTCCGTCTTATAATTCTAGCAGGAGCACAGGAAAATGTCCTATGTTTGAATTTAAATTACCTGTGACTTGGTCATTTCAGCTTGTTGTCACTGTTACTTCAAATAAGCAGGACTACCTTTTCACTGCAGCTTTTCATCGTCTATTAAAGATGCAAGAAGCAAGCAGGCAAGAGGAGGAGCTGTGAACAGCTCAGCGGGGCGAAGCTAATCAAGGCAGCTGTCTCTGAATAGCTTTTACCCGCAATGAGATGAAGCATCTTTTTTATCTTACATAAGCAATCTACCAACATTTGCAGAGCCATCCTTGGCTGACCTGAATGCTTTTCTATTTCCTTGCTAGTTCTTAACCCCTCAGATACCATCTTGGATTCTTATCTGTGACCTTTGGGTATATTTTGTTTCTTTAAGTAGATTCATCATCTTTGCTTTGTTAGGTTGGGGTGTAATTTATAGGGATTGTCAAGGTTTACAGATGGTAATTTTCAAGAAGTATATTTCCACTATTAGAAATGCTCACATAACTGTTGTGCTCTCATCAGGTAGCTTCGGTACAAAGATAGTATTGTGACAAACGGAGGAACTGTGGCACCATATAATTATGCATTTAGTGGAGGGTCAGGCACATTCTCTCTTTGTAGATGTTCATGTTCTTTTTTACAAATAACTTCTTATTAAGAGGATAACATTTTACTGTTACTCTGAAAGGGAATGCTTTGTTTCACATGAAACATATTTGATATTTGGACTTATTACTCCGAAAGGGAAAAGTACCATTGCTTTGGGTTTTCCTTATTGTTCATATACAAATTTCAATCAATGTGTGCCTGCTCGTGTCTTTATTTTTGGTAGGCACCTCTGAGAAAGGTGGAAGATAGAGAACACTGAAGTCAG